GTCCGGAGGGGTGTCTGTATTGTGAGAGTAGACTGCAACTTACGACATACGATCATGTAATGTGAGCCAAGTTCCACAGCGCGCTGTCTGAGATGTTAGTTTGACATGGCTAACTTGTTGGCGTACAACAAGGATTGATCTTCGTATTTTCCCACGGCTGTGTATTTTTCCCATGTGCGCTACTAAATTTGGAACTTCGATTTGTGAGGTTGAAATTACTTTAAAATCGGCCTATCCGGACTGGAAAATTCCGTCGATATAGCCGAAATTCGACTTATAAAAATTCAAATTAAATAAACAATTTACACAGTAATACATAGGAAAGAATTGGAACTTTAAAAAAAATTTGACTTAAACAGAGTCGACTTTGGCGGACTCGACTGTATATTATAATCCAAATTTTACAATTTTGAGACAGGTCGTACTGTATTATTTCATACATTTTAATTCTAATCATTCTTGTTTCAGCCATCAAGAGAATTAGCTGAACAGGTAAATTAATTTTGGAATAATTTTCCTAATTTTGTTTAACTTATGTGCAATTCAGTACTGTAAAACCAGAAATTTAGTTGTAGGAATCTGTCGCGAATTGATCATTTTTGGCTGTTTTTGCAACAGTTAACTTTTGCAAATCACAAAAGGCTTTAAATTCTATTCATGAAAGAAATACCATATAATAGCTGAAAATATTGTATTGTGAGTTCTAGGCATAGGCTAGGTAGGCATGCATCTGCTGCTTTAGGACTTCCTGGATATCCCAGGCACAGTTAATTACAGTATGTCAAAGAGAGAAAAGACACATAGAGTACTCACTCATACGATATTCCTAAATTTTGTATGGTATTCAAGCATTCTACCTTGAACAATGTTTATCAAAACAATATTGTAATATTGATTCAAACATCATGGTTATGTCATGGTATGAAAAGAAAATTTGATTCTTCTTAGTATAGGCCTTGCAGTGGTTGCACATGTGCAATCACATGCAGTGATGACCAGAGCCTCCCTGATCAGTATACTTATAGAGTAGTTTAGAATAGGCCTAGAATTTACAAAGTTTTCAGTTCAACATCGGACTTTAAGGTCAGAATATCGGTTCAATAATTGAACTACATTATAAAAGTTTATACATATTTAATAAAATCCACGAAAATAATTAAAGATACAATTTTTAAAATACTGCACAAACATGTTGCAATTTGTGGAGACTCCCAATTTAGGCCTAGGCCCTAGATCAGGCCTTGAAATACAGACAATTCTTGTTTATTATTCCTTATCATCTTTAAAAAAGTTAAAATTAATTTCTGGTGTAATTCAGTGATTTATAATGACCAAAATCTCTTTTCTGAAACTGAATCAACATTCAGATAGTAACACCCATCTTTTGCGCTCTCCAATACTTAAAGTACTTCAACCATAGAAAATGTGACCTGAAAATTATTCGCGGCATGAAACTTTCACGAATTTGGACCATTCGCGAAATTTGCGAAAGTTTAATGCACATGAAATTTCCTGGTTTTACAGTACAGTACCTGTATTTTTTATAAAGGCTACATTTATATAATCACATTTTTTTTTTCACATTTTAAATTTTGAATATTAATGATTTATTACCATAAATATTTAATGTGCCAATTTAGACCCCATTGGAAATGGGCTGGACTTCTAAAAGGTGTACCTGATGCTCATTGCTTTGTATTTTGGTTTACACATCATATGTTATGATGTTATATATACTGTATGTATTTGTATCACACAAATCATCGTGGTTTTATATTGTGAATAAGTGTGACATTATTAAGCCTATAGTACCACAAACAGCATACTTGTATGCAAATGTGTGATGTTGTAATAAGGAATATGAATACAAATGCAAAACATTTTATTGTAATACATGTAATACAAAGTATAAAATTTATATTTAAGTACACCATTAAGATAAAAGAGAAATAAAATAGAACATTAAAACTGATTATAACAACTAGAGGGTGCGCTCACTTACCCTCTAGTATGTGAACATTGCGATTAGAACAACATGGCTGCTAAAAGAAGATAGGTTGCATGGTTTTGACAATAGTTTCAAATTATTTTTCATAACATGAGAATATTTAGGAACCATTAAAATGAGATGAAACAGCTATTGTGTTAATTGATATGGGGGAAATATCTTCTATTCTTGCCATCATTTTCCTCGGAAAACGTTTTAGTTCACACTATAATTAAAGTTAACATAATATGTAATTGGTACAGTAGGCCAACAGTATGCCACAAAATACTTCGGTCAGGGGCAGCTAAGGTAAATTTTTAAAGAAACTCAATGATAACCCAAAAACCGACTGTGCTTGACGAAAATTGACTGTGTTTGTTAAGAGACTGTGCCTGAAAACCAAGTGCTTGAATATCTACTATGTTTGAAATTTGGCCCTTTTTAAAACCTCAAAGCTGTACATTAAATGTTGCTCTTTTAGCGTTCCATATAAAACCGCCAAACTGTACGTTAAATTGTACTTTTTTGGCATTCCATATAAAACCGCAAAATGACTGAGACACAGCTACAGAATGCAGAAATATGTAAACAACATTTTGGTTGAGTAAAAGACATGTTTTCGAGTGAAAAGCGTCGATAAGAGTAATTATTTTTCCCACAATTCATATGAAATATGGATTGATATCACTTTGGGCAATTAAAACTTTAAGGACTGCAAGCGGTCCGGCCGGTGTGAAAACTGGCTTAATCAATGGGTTAGACTTGCAAGGCATGATACCAAGCTTCATTTGGTTAGGCCAAGCCGACTCTCTTGCATCAAAGACACAAAAGCTTGCGGGTAGAAAATAAAATTCATTTTCCTTTCATAATTGTTTTCAATATAACAAATAAAACAAAAACCAATCACTACAATAAACTTCCCCTCCTAAAATTGCCTTAAAAGACAGTAGTTGTACATAAATAAAAATTACAGTAATTCACAACAATGATATATTAATTATTTTATTTGGAATGACATTTTTGTAATAGTGGCACACAACTGCGTGGGTGGTGCATCCAAAAGAAATCATAGACATTAAAGAAATGAAATTAAAAAAATGTAAAAATTAACCACAAATTCCTGCGAGACACCATGTAGACAAAAATGACAAAGACCCGACACCTTGAACCGCATATCTCAACCATCTTCAGTAGAAGTAATTCTCCTGAAGGCAATCCGAAATGCTGAGAACACCAGTCACCCACCATCTTCCCCCTCCCCGAGACCATCAACATGGCACTTCGCAAGAACTCATCCAGTGTTACAACGTCATATGAAACTTTTCAAAATTAAATGATTAGGAAAAGTAATCTAATATTAACAATAATTAGAAAATAATATTAAATATATAAGAAGCAGCTTTATCAAACAACAACAATGTACCCCAGTTGTGCATTATAAAGCACAAGATTGATTACTGTAAATCATTTTTAATTTTCCATGCCTTCTTTAACATAAGTCTTACAGTAATTATCAAACACTTTAGCAATTTCAACAGCATCATCAACAGATTTTTACCATTTAGATCCCCCTACCAAGACTAAGTTGTAATTTAATACCACCATCGCTATAGAATTAATATATTTCAAAATATTCGAAGAACGGATATAGGCTAACACATTCTCTATTAGTTGTATGCTTTAATTCTGATGACATTAAGTGGTGCAAAACAGAAGTCAAGAGAGTCATTTAATTTTAACCACGAATAAAAAAAATTAAAATAATAATAATAATCGTATCCCTGGTGGGGAGGCTTCAGGAGTGCCTTTGCTTGCCCAAGGCAGAATTTCCTACTTAGCAACTCCTAAGACTCATGGAGGGAAGGAACGTCTTGTGTTTCCACACCGCTGCCCTTACAGGTGTGGCCTACACTTAAACTATGCCTAATAATACAATATTGAAAATTTAATCTGATATTTTGGTGTGTATTTATCATAAGGGTGAAGCGAACAAAAACGTCTTAAGCTAATTCTTATGCTGATGGAAGTACACTGTTTAAAGCTGTAACAGATTCCATAATCTGTACTCATTCTGTACAGCGCTCTTTCATTAAAACCTGGGTCATTTATGCAGTTTATTTCAACAATTTTCAGGCATCTTCCTTACTTACAAAATTCTAAAGTGAGGGGGACCAACACTCCCTTAAAAATATTGGGAGATGTGTCCCCATCCCCCATGATCTGCGTCCATGACTATGTTCAACACATAGAGGAGAATCAAACACAAAGCACATTCTGCAGTGACACAGCCAGTAATTCCAAATTGGTAAAATGATTTAGAAAGAAAGGAAGTTGAAATCATTAAACGAAATTACATGGAACAACCAAAATGTAGAAATGGTGGTATGTTGTAATTTTATATCATTGTGTGTATCTTTAAAGTATTAAAAACTTGATATCTGAACCTAATTAAACAACACAGAAACAAGTCGTCTTTTCCTTTCTTCAAAGGGGTTTACAGCGTACCTCTGTTTTACTTATCAACAGCAGGGGTAACAATACCAGCACAGCGTTATTTTTAGCAATTAAAGAATAATCTAGAAAGCTGCATTACAAACAATGAACAAACAATGGACGACCAGAAAGTCATCAATGTCTATTAAAACGTGATCAATAACTTTATTGAATAGGATAAATAATTCCTCTCTGCGAGATAATTCATGAGGCCAAGAGTTCTAGTTAGAAGAAAATGGTCCAAAAATTGTTCATTGAGCTTTTTTTTTTTTTTTTAACCTGAAAAGTCGCAACTCTCTTACTTGAGCCACACAGTGCGGGTAGTAAAGCCTAGCTAGAAGCTATTGGAGCTGAACATACTGAAGTCGCGAGATACCTGTGTGTGTAATCTTAACATTAGGAGTGCTCATCTTCCTTCCCTTTTATGTTTGCGGTTTGTTTCAATTTTTTCAAGCCATTTATGGTCACTGATCAGAAAATGGTAAATGCACAGATTTGTAGGTGCATATGGAGCTAGATTGGTCTTACAGAAAACCACTCAATAACATCATCAAACAAGCCTTGAGATGGAACCCACATGGAAAAAGAAAGAGTGGTCGGCGAAGAAACGACTGGAGGAGGGCTGTGGCGTACAAGTCAAGGAGGACAGTATCTCAGGAACGGCTAGACAGTATAGTCCAAAACTTAAAGCGATGATATGCTATTTTTAAGGACTAGGTCCAGGATTTATCAATCCCAGCTTAGCAAATGTCTTGAGTCAAAAAAGTGGAGATGTCCCTAATAAATATCTTAAGCTGAGTTATTACCCAATCGTCTTAGGTGGTGCCAACATACAATCGACTTTCTAATTTTAAGCAATTTTTAAGCTAAGCAATATGAATAAATTTGACTTAAGACAAATTTAAGGTGATTTCTAGTTCGATAAATGTGGCCCCTGCTCTACGAGGTGTTGAAGGGAATAAAAGAAAAGAAAATGGCCGCTGTCTCATTCATTATTTGGACAGCTAATATATTATTTTTTTTCTTTTGTTTATTGGCTGTTAACATGACAATTGGTCTAAATACTGTTAAGTCTTATGTGGAAGGCGTTTTACAATTCTTTAGCCAAGTTTAAGGCTAGCCTATAGTCTACAATGGCTAATATGTGAGCCTAACTGGAGAATCACCTTATTCAAGCCTAACAAGAGCCAGAAAGTTATATGATTTTAATAAGTATCTTCAAAAATGTATCCCTGTACTTAAAACATTTATGCAGACTCATATATAGCCTATATTACATGCAAGTAATTTTTACACCATACATTTTCTTCATAGGTAAGACAATGAACTTTAAAAGATGATGTATGATGCACTCATTCCTGAAATATATAAAACAATTGATATAAATATATTAAAACACAAAAGTTATAAAAATGAAGACAGAAAAGAAGTTTAACTGACTGTTAATATTGAACTCATCAGGCTTAGTGATGCAGCACTCTCGTACATATTCATTGTTCTATAGTTCTAAATGAATCACATTTATCTTATAAAAAGTAACAAAGAAGGTGCATTTATTCCCCACTTTATGTGTGGTGTCACTACAGAACCACCATGGAATAGTACAAAAAAAAATTTAATGTGTGTGATACTATACAAATATACATATATATATATATATATATATATACATTCTCGCTGATGAAGGCCACAGGAGTGGCAGAAATATCCAAGTTTATAATAAATCAGTGTTCTTAAAGTCTATTACTGAAGTTGTTTCATTATTTTATGATCTTTAATGAGATCTGTTTCACTGTTTCGGACTCTGCAAATTCTTCCTACCGATTAAAACTTAAAACGGATTTATACCTAATTTAGGGAAAAACCCAAACAAACAGTTGTTGAACTTTCGCACTTGAATATCACGCTCTCTATTTAGTTACCTAAAGTTTCTGAATATGCTTATAGCAAGAATGTTTTCCACCTGTTGGATATGTAAGAATGTATGCATAATAAAATTTATATACACGGGTGTAAGTTGTTATAAATAAGTGTACCTAACTAGCAAGGTTCACACAGATGATGGAAAATGGTTTCCGAAACATGTCTGATTTGCCTGTAGATTCAAGCTACATAAAATTGCCCGTGTGAAATACTTCTGCAGGATAATTGAAATGAGCACACATCGTTGGCCCAAATTTCTACTTCTTGCTATGTTGCAACTCAATTGTGACTTTAAGATATAAATTTCTATACTGATAAATGATATTTTAATAAGAAGTGAGTCTGAAGATATTTTTAATGCACTACTTAATAACGAGAAATGTTGTTATTCTCAAACGCTTATTTTAAGAAAATTGGATGATATTTGGAATAATCAATGGAGAGATGATGTTCAAAACAAATCATCCCTCTCAGTTTATGCATCCTTAACATCCATCCTGTATTACAACACCTTATTGATAAAACGGACTTTTAGGGGTTTGCATTGAAATTTAAACTTAGATCAAATACGCTACCATTAAATTCCAGAACATCAAATTGGTCCACAAATAATAATGAAAAATATACCCTACGCAATTTAAATTCAGACGAGAATACAAGACATTTCCTCTTAGTCTGCCCAGCCCTACAAAATACATGTATTGATGAAATTTCTAAATTAAAAAAATTGAATTACTTGACAATATAGAATTGTATAATGAATTTATTAATGCAAACGATGACCTAAAACTACATCATATTTTGGGTTGTTCATCATTGCTCCTTAGCAGAAAGTATGAAAATATCTTCGACAAGTTTTGCAAAAGATATACCAAAAGAGCATGGAAATTCTGCAACGAGATTTTGAATTCCATGCTCTAACTTTGCTTTGTAGTACTGCTATTCAGTTCACCTCTGTTTTCAATTTCATTTAGTTGTTTTTCTTTCCTGCATTACTATTTTTTATGTATGTTGCTTAGGTTTTTAAGGGGAAGGGGCAAATGCATAGTTTGGGGAGGGAATAACGGTACTTAGAATATTGTTTCTGCTTATAAGGGGTTTAGTTTTATTGATGAGGGAATTGTATGCTCTCAGGGATGTTCGGTATTCTGAACATATTTGTTTTGAATTTTTATGCATTTGTTTTCAAGTTTAATTCATTTTCCTTTGTCGTTTTTTTTTTTACTACTTTTTAGTTTTAAGTTTTGTTTACTTCGTATAATATATTATATTTACTTTTAATTGAATAAGCTTCATTCATGGGATTGAAATGAGTATTGAGGTATCATTGCATATAATACCTTGACGAGGGTGGGTATTGGATAGGGGTGGGGTGATTGTCAAATGCTTGAGTGACAGTTACTCAATTGAGGTATGTTGTGGCAAAATGGCTAAGTTGTAGCAAAAATTTAAATTCAAGTTATTGGTATTTTCAAAGTTATTGGAAAGTGAAAGTACAGTACTCTTCAGTACTTTCAAAGTTATTTGTGCATACATTGTTTAATAGAATGAACTATGAAAAATAATGTTAAATAAACAATTTGTTAACCACTTCCAGAACTAATACTTTGGGACATGATTAATAAGACATTAAACTGTTGAAAAACAAATTTGGATTTTTTATCAATTTTTTGAGCTCCCATATTTTATAGCTCATTTACTCAATACTGGACTGTGCGACACTTCCATTTCGCCACAACATGCCTCAATTTATACTTTGTTTTCTTTAGTGTATTGTATACTGTTTGAAGTATTATATATATTTTTTTGGACGAAAAGTATAGTTTCCCAATAAATAATTATTATTATTATTGTTATGGGAGGAAGATTAAAATCTCTCGTTCTCTTCATTAAAGTATCTGTCGATAATACTTGCTTATAGAAGCTTCGGCAGCATAGCACATATCTGATTACTGTTTTGAATATTGGCATGATACACTATTTGAACATATTATAAAATTGTATGTTTACTACCTTTCAACCTTTATAATGTTCTATTTCTTTCTTAAGACCTTAGACCAGATTACACTATTCAAGAAATATGTTGGAGCACCATGCCCACGGTATGCTAATACTTTTATTTTTTTTTGTTCTGTTTTGTTTTGATTTGTTGTTTTTCCATTTTTGTGTTGTAGTACAATGTTCTGGTGATTATCATCAACTTTTTTGTACATACAGTAATATGATGGTAAAGGCCATAAGCTATCAATGTAATCAGGGATGCCAACCATTATGAAATAGGGTTGAATATGTAGTTTAATTGACAATTTTTTCACACACAAAAAGTGTCTCTGTCCAGGGGTATTCCCTTCATAGGGGTGGCTGTTGTGAATTTGTTTCCCCCCTGTATTTTCTATGACAGTGGGACAAGAACCCCATTTTGTTGTATTTGGTATATTTCTTTCAACTATAGTAGTAGTGGGAATATATTTCTTCTTTACTTCCACCCAGAGAACTACTTCTGATTGGAGGACAACCTGCCAAGGAACAGATTCAAGCTCTACATATGGGGGTAAGATCATTAGAATAGAGGTTTCATACTTTCAGTGAGTCGAGTGGCTGAGCGGTAAGGCAGGGGCATCACTAACTACAGACTTTTCATCAGCGCTGGTGTGAGCCGCTCCTTGCCCAGGGTCCTTAAGTCTTCTCTGATAAGGATTTAAAGTGGAGGTCCATTGTACACACGTAGTAGCTCGTGTACACTTTAAAGCCAGGCACTCACAATGATGTACGACGGTCGATGAATTTAACTCCGCTCTCCATCAGTGCTAGACGACGTGATGCCGTCTGAAGATTGTTGGTGGCAGTCTGATAGGATCATCATTAAAGATGATCCTTTGCGTGCGCATCGTCACTTAGCATTCTTCATAGAATTGCTTCGGCCGAAGACTGTCGGGAACAGCGAGTGCCCGGTTTTAAGGAATGCGTTGCATCTTTCGGAAGAGTATGGGTTACCCTGATGCTATGGTTTATTTCATCCCCTGGTGTGGAATGGTGTGAACATGTAGCTACTACAGTATAAGCTCCCCTTTACTGTTAGGTAATCATGGACCATGCCACATGCAATTCAGCACAACGCTACAAGTTACCTTACCTTTTTACTATGGTGCCATAAATATCTTTGTCAATATAATTTAACAATTAAACGAGACTTACCTGTAAGTTGAAGTTTGGTTGTGGTTCTACACTGTCCTCTCGAGCCGATCAAAGGAATTACATGGGATGTGTATTGCGCACGCGTACCCAGACTTCAACTAAAAAATGACAGAGTTCCTGATAATTTATTTATTTACAGTATTTATTTTATTTATTTTTCAACAAAATGAAAACCTCACGGGCGGGTGGGAGATGCATGTAATTCCTTTCATCGGCTCCAGCATGTAATTCCTTTCATCGGCTCCAGAGGACAGTGTAGAACCACAACCAAACTTAACTTACAGGTAAGTCTCCTTTAATTGTTAAATTCTACACTGCCCCCTGGGCCGATGCGGAATTCCATGGGACTTTAAAGCAACTGGAACTGTGTCATTGCAAATGTACAAGAAAAGAAGACAGTCCACGACAATTTATTTTATTTTTTATTTATTTTTTTTTTAAAGTGTCCAAACTTTCCATATCAATGCTGAAACAAACTAACAGCATAACTGTACAATACAGTTACTGTATAACCAAATGGGTAATGTAACAATGGTTACAATTGTAAAACCACAAACAAATGGTAGCATAACAATTGCACAAAATGCGGAACAAAGCATTCCTTGAAACACAACAAACAGGAAAAACACTTCGCAACAACCATTAGGCTTAACAGTATTGCTATCATCATTATTAATCTCAAAATCAGTCTAGTATTATTAACCTTATTGTTATTTATCATATTATAATAACTATTATATGACTTAACTGTTATTACTATTACATCTGCACCTATTTATTTGCTTATTTATTCATTGTTATTATTCTTAACATCATACTATTATTACTTAACTCAGCTCATACCATATCCAAAATAACCTCACCCAATGATGTCTTGCTCAATCTCTTTGTTATAAAACCTTGCAAATGTGGTTGCATTACTCCAACCCACTGTCTTTATGTTGAATAGGCACTCCGACTCTGAGCCTTGTACACAGATATATCAACTCCTGCCTGAGCCATAATAGTTTTGACCCACTTCCCAATGGTGAAGGACTAACACCTTTATGAGGCTTCATGTAGCTAATAAATAGCCTAGAATCATCCTGTCTTCTTTCTGTACGTGCCAGGTATTCCTGCAACGCTGTATAAACACACAACCTGCTGTCAGTGGGATACGCTTTCAGAATAATTGGTGGAGGCAAATACCCAGGCCTACTCTGCTTTACAGCAGACCGGCCTATAACAAAAGTAAAATCTGATGAGGTTTTAGTCATACTGTTTAAATCCAAACATGCCAAAGTATGTGAACGAGCCGCTGTTAATATCACAATTAACACCACAACTTTCAAAGTTAATGACTTTAAACTTAAACTTGTATTTGGTTTTAATGATAGTATGTAGTTTAATAGAACTGACACATCCCAGGTTTGTTTATACCTGGGAGCTGGTGGGTTTCTGTTATACACCCCTTTTAAAAATCGTATAACTCATGGGTCGGCTCCTATAGTGTGATGGCCATCCCAAACTATAAACTGTAACAAAGCACTTCTAGCAGTGCAGCGGGTGAAGTATGTCTTTGAATTGTATTCCAGAGTCAGGAGCATTTGCGGTAGTACCACCGGGCTTTGGATTAGTAGGTCCATAAATATGTTGAACCAAGGTTGAGTCAGCCATAATGGGACAACCACTATTGCTGTTGCTTCCTCCACCTGTAATTTCTGAAGTACCCTGGGAAGTAAACTGAAAGGTGGAAAGATATATGAAGTAACATCACTCCATTTCTTTGAAAAAGCATTGATAAATTCAGCTTGAGGGTCTCGCTGCCAAGCCACATATCTTTGACATTTTGCATTCAGTCGGGATGCAAAAAGGTCTATATCTACACCCCCTAACTTCGCTGTCACGGCATTAAATACCTGTGTATTTAGTGACCACTCACAGTGATCGTTAAAGTGCCTGCTTTCAAAATCAGCAGTAGTGTTATAAATACCCAGTATATATGCAGCTGACAACTCTATATTGTGTGATGCACACCAAGCCCAAATTTTACATGTCAAATTATTTAAATTGGCTTTCTTTCCGCCCATATCATTAAGGTAGGCCAAAGCAGTTGTATTATCTACTAAAACACCCACTCGCTTGCCTTTTATCTGTGACTGAAATGATTGCAAAGACAAAAATGCACCCAATAATTCAAGGTAGTTAATATGAAAATTTTTCTCACATTCGGACCATCGTCCACCTATTTTGGTATTTCCCAGAGCTCCACCCCAACCTTCTAACGATGCATCCGATGAAATGCAAATACCGGGGGACTGACTGTAATATTCCTGTATTGAGTGCGAATATTGGATGCCCACCAAAACCATTGTTCTTTCATTGTTTCTGTGATGATTATTTTAGCGTCAAAGTTTGCTTGATGCATTTTCAAGTATGTGTCCTTAGCAAATTCCAATTGTCTATAGTGTGAAGGACCCCAGTATGCTGCAGGGAAACATGCAACAATATTAAAAATAACCATTGACACATCTAATTGTATCATGTGTCTTGCCGACCATATCTAAGCATATGCTTCTGATATTAATCATCATATCCCTAAAGTAACTTTCATTGAACTTGAATCTATAATGAATCCTAAATGTTGAATAGTTATACGTGGGTGTAAAACAGATTTCTCAAAATTAATCCCAAATCCCAAATCAGACAATAGGGTAATTACTGATTGTATGGAATGCTTATGTTTTTCTGCTGAGGATGCCAAGATTAACTATCATCTAGATAACCCGTAATAGTAGGCCCCTTTTGTCTCAAAGTGGCATAGACGGGTTTCATGAGCTTGGTGTACTTCTGTGGAGCACAAGCTAGGCCATTCGGAAGACAAGTAAATTGATAGAGTGTATCCTTCCAATTAAAACGGAGATATTTTCGGAACTTTTTAAGTACTGATACACCATAGTATGCAACTTTTAAGTTTATAGACGCCATAAAGCAATCTGGAGTGACCAGCCTTAGCTGTATCAAACGATTCCATCTTAAAATGATGATATTCTACATTCTCGTTAAATTTTTTCAAATTTAAAATCAGTCTAAACTTGTTATTCTTCTTTGGCACCAAGAAGATAGGCAATATATACTCGCCAGGTTCATGTTGAGTTATCTCAATAACCTGTTTTGCAAGCAATTCTGAAATCTCTTTCTCTATAATGGAAACATGTGTTGAATTCAGACTCAATAATCGAATAGACGACTGAGGAGATGGTAAATTGGCTTTTGAGAATTCTATTGTACACCCCTTTACTTTTTGAATGATCTCTTCATCTGAAGTTAAAGAAAGCCACTTTGGCAAATGGCATGCCAGGCTGCCTGCCTTAAAATGTTGAATGATCATTCATTCTTACCTGACATCCTATTTCTTCATTCCCTTTCTGTTGTTGAATCCCATATTGGTTTTTCCTTGGTAAGGTTTTCTCATTTGGGGTGAGTGATTCGAGCTCCTGTAGTAATGGGGGCGATGCCCACCCCTCCCCCTTAACATTAAAAAAGGCTGTCTTTGTTGGTATTGCCTATTATAGGGGTGAAATCTGTGTGCAGACTCTGCTGCCATTATTTTACAGTCAATTTTGGATTCAGAAATCACTTTAGCAAGATTGTCTCCAAATAAAAGACTCTTTTCTGGCTTATTTGCCTTACAGCTTGCTTTCAGTTCATTACTGAGCAGTGGTTTTAATGTATCTCTTCTCTGAATAGATAGTCCTTGGTGTACATAACCTAACAATGCTACAGATTCCAAACTTTCTGAGGCTACTTTCTTAGAATCCAAAGTAGTATAATTGTCTGTAGCTTTGAGAAGACCATCCAAAGTTTGGGCTAGAGTGCCCACTACTCTAGTAACTTTGTCCTGGAGGACAGACACATGGATATCTTTTTTTCTGTGAAAGGCTTTCAATTTGTCCCAAAACCTTTGAATTAACCCTTGGAACAATTAAATCATTGCAATTGCTAGGAATCTTATGTTTCTCAAGTATCTCCTTACGTTTTAAAGCCCTAAATCAATTGTAAATTTGTCATTTATTAACTTTGCCAATTTCTCTGAAATTGGGGAGCCATGTAAATCAGAAGGCCTGAGGCTGGCATCTAACTGCTCCAGCACTTCCTGCATATCTTCATTATCCTCTATGTCCAAGGAATCAAACTTATTTCCCCCAAAAATACTCAACACATCGTCATCACAGGATCTGTGAGGTAATGGCGCTGTCTCTGCAGCAATCTTTACTGCTGTCTCTGCAGCATTAGTATTATCATTTGTTGCTGTCTCTGCAGCCTTTCTTTTGTTCAAACCAGCTCCATTCTGGAGAGCAAAGTATTTGTCAATTTCATATTGTCCTGCATTCCAGCAGGAACGCTTACAAGGCCCGCTGTTGACAAACCGATATTCAATCCCGGTTCTACGCTGCTGCTGCTGCAGCCCGCTGGCGGCGTCGGTGTTCCTTCAGCCAAGACGGGAACCGCCACGGCCGAAGTCTGTGCAGTAACATCTAATTTTTTACTATTATTAGTTATCGTTGTATCCTCCATCTTACCTGAAGATTTCCAGGGATATAATGATGCCGAGGAGTACACTAGTTTCTACTAATAACTATTTTTTCCAAAGTTATTTGTGGGGAAAAAATTTGCAGTCTGGCTGTCTGCATGAACGAACACGACTGGTTACGCGTGCGCGATACACATCCCATGGAATTCCGCATCGGCCCAGAGGGCAGTGTAGAATTTGGTATTTTGGAAAACTTCTTTAAGTTCAATATATCGTATGTTATCAGTGATGATTGCAATAAAGTTTATTCATAAAAGTTTAATATTCACTATAGTCACATGCATGCCCTACTTTATACTAAGCTTCAAAAATCAATTGGCAGTTGTATGTGAAAGACATTTGTAGTACCTTTAAGTGTGTGTCTTTGATTTTGAATTTGACAAAAGTGACATGTACAGTATTTTCAAACATCACCCACATTTATACTAATAATTTGGTTTTTGTTTTGTATTTCGCACCAAGGTTGACATTGTTGTTGGTACCCCAGGTAGATTGGATGACTTCATAAGCACAGGGAAGATAATATTAGACCAGGTAAGCATAATTTTATATATGATTAGAAAGACATTGTAAGCAACACATTTTTTAGAATTGTATGTTAGGTACATGCCGTTGAGCTCATAAATATGAACTGTAATATTAAATATTTTAAAAGTAGTTACTTTGTAAATTTAAGTTATTAGCTCAGAGTTCCTCTAAATATATTGAATGATTTGTTTTTCTTTTTCTTCCCTTTGTAATTTTATTTATAATTTATTAGTTGTTATACTTTTTTTCTTTTCTTGTAATTAAAGTGTTGCATAAATTCCAATATCGTACAACAAACAGCAATAAATTAAACTTGACTTAATTAAACATTGAAACAAGGTTTCAGTCTGTTTGTAAACAGAACATAGGGCTTTGGCTCTTTGCCATGGCAACTGATATATATTATAATGTAAAAAAAATATTTAAAAAATTAATGTAAAATATACATGAAATACAAAAAAAAATTATGATGAAGTAAAACAAAACATGGAAACCAACTCAGCATCAGTGTGATTCAAACTAGATGTGAAACCAATCATGCGCTACATTTGTACTATAGGTTGGCATCTTGTTTTTTTTTTTTTTTGAACGAACAATATTTTTTCATGAGCAAATAAGGTGGTAATAGCCTTGGCGAGGCTATGGGGCCAAGGCTAGCCTATTTTACAGGATGGTACTCGATGCGAGTCCAAAATTGTTGTATTATTTGTATATTTTTTCTTTCTAGGCGTAAACATATATTTGGTCGTAAAAAAAAAGTTTCCTACCGACCTACCCATTTTGGATTTTTGCCAATGTGTGGCCAACGCAATTTTTTTTTGGCCTAAGTCCGTCACTGCACGGTTTCAAATGTTTGTGCTGCAGGAAAATCCAAGAAATTTGCTTTCTGTCCTAACTTGCTAAAACTAGAAAAATTCGATTTTGTGTTTGTATATGTTTGTTGTGGAAGAAAAACAAATAAAACAAGATAAAATAATAATAAAAATTTTAATAAAAATAGAAATTAAAATAATGACATTAGTAGTAATAATAACGCATAAAACCCTTTCTATATAAATCTTTCAAAAATTTACTTAAACCACCAGCCCAACTCACAGTAACTCCCAAATGCTTTTTATTTCAAAGGGGGACAATATTCCCACTTTTAGTCTTTTTTAGAGTGAGCATTTTGAGATTTTGTATCTGAAATGCTTTGCCCAAAATTCACTGTAGGCCTTTTCACTACACAAGCAGCATATAATATTAAAACATTTTTTTTTAAAATGTGACAAGCCTCTTACTTTAGCAACCACCACCTACTTTGAAACAAAATTGCGCTATCCCAGCTATTCCTGAAATGCTTTTCATTATATTAGTTGTGTAGCTGCCAATTTCTTAATTCTTCCACTTAAGCACACTGTTTTAAACGTTTTACTCTTATAGTTGACGTAAAAATACATGCCAAATATTGGTGTTGATTTGGAAATATTATGCAAATAGTCAAATTAATAAGAAGTATAGGGGTTTTTAGCATTACATGTTTAAATATAAAGATGCATTAAAAATATTCCCATTCAGTTTCCAAAAAAGTGAAGTTAGTATGCCATTTTTGAGATATTTTAAACACAACACACAGACACACCCACCCCCACACACACACACACACACACAAACAACAAAACGTGACACACACAACTGAAACATCTCATGAATAAAAAAAACTCCAATCCTTAAGCCTCATAAAGAAACTTCGCTGATAAAGATCACATTATTTCATTTATTTAAGAGTGCCCCTGAATATCAGCCGACCTAATAGGATACGCTGGAAGGGTAAAATTTTAAAAACTTCTAAAAACATATATCTCCTGGCAGAGACTGGCAACTTGATTTAATATGTCTGTGTGTACAACAGAACATAGGCTTTTCCTCATTGCCATAAGGAGAAGTGATATTGAAATTGCAACAAAAAAAAAAGTATAAAGTAAAAAACAAGAAAAACTGAAACACTTAAAACTACTGAAGAAAATTATGAAGTAAAAAAACAATGAAAATCAACGCAACGTTAGTGAGACTCGGACTATAGCTGCAATGGTAATACAGGGGTCCTAAGTTGGAAGAAGTCATTCCCAGGAGATCTGAGGTGGCGGGTCGAAGCCTGGGGGGGGGGGGAGGTGTGAGGTGCAGTCAGGGAGGAACTTTCACGGATGGAGGGTCTACACCACCTCAGCCACACCATGTGGAGCGGAAGCAAGAGAAGGGCCCTCTCAATGGCTGGAAATGGCCCTCCCAGACTTAAATTTGAATGGTATATTTATTAAGCGCCTATTACAATATTCTCTATGCGGCTTGAAATGCAAAATCTTGGAAGCAGAAAAAAAAAAACCCGAGAAATATCCTAAGACTATCAAAAACAAACAACTACAGAGACAAAGAGAAGACGGCAGAAGGAACCAGTATCGCTTGGTGGGTCTTAAGCCTTGTCTTGAACACGGAAATAGATGGAGACTCGCGCGAACAGTGTCAGGTAAAGCATTCTAAAGCTTTGGGGCCACGACACTAAATGAACGCTTGCAAAAAGATTTTAACAGGCAGGGTAGACAGTAGAGTATAGATGAACTGGTTGTGGATCTCAGAGTGCGTGGACAAGTAGCCGAACGTAATTGAATAAGGTCAGATATATACTTAGGTGTGGAATGATGAGGAGATTTATAAACAAAAAGTAAAATCTTGAACTCGATGCGCTGTTTGATGGGTAGCTAGTGGAGAAGGGGAAGTGTAGGAGTGATGTGTTGGGATCTGGGTGTACCACAAAGAAGACGAGCAGCGACATTAGGCCATAAAAAATAAATTGTTTGTTTGCCGTTCTTTTTAAAAAAATGATAAATAGGGGCAGGTGGAAAAAGTTTTTTTTTTAAATTATTATTTTTTTTAAATACTCATCAGATGGAATAAAAATAACCCACAGAGGCAATATCTTACATCAGACAACAGCTTTAGACTAATTTGTAGGGCATCTGGCAAAAAATAAAGATAAATTTACCAGGGCTTGCCCTAACTTTTTTTGGTAACTAGAGATTTTACTAGCCCACAGAATATTTAACTTGCCCACAGACAAGAAAAAATTGTGTTTCAAAATATTTATTAGCGACAATTAAATTTGAAGGTTGATTTGCAATTTCATAATTTCTGTAGCATTGCTGTTTGAGCTACCCTCTCAAAATATTGTTGAATAAATGAATAAAAAAAATCACCCATGTTGCACAATCGACTCTGGTTATAACAGGGACAGATGAGCATGTTTTACATCTCCCTGGTTATAACTTTGGCTTTCTAATATTTAACAAACATATTCAAACCAATGCATCTGTTAAATCTTTAGGTCTCATGTCACTCATCTGTAATATCATGGTAATTCAGTGATTGAAAACGAAAATTGTTCAAGCATTTCACAGTAATTTTGTGTTTAACCTTGCTTCAGCTGGTTTGAAATGCTCATATAGTTTAATCACAAGTCCAAAAATATTCTTTAAATGGTTCTCGTATCTGTTGGGTATGACCGTTGCAAGTGCACAAGTTGCAAGTGTTGCAAGTGCTGCATATTTTTTGTGTGTATTTTTACTAACACGAAGGCAGGGTGATGATAATGTACTTGGCAGAGGTAGTTTTGTATTTCAGTATTTAATACAGCTAGTTTTTGTTAATGACCTTCGCAACAGACCCATTTTGTTGAGTGTTTCATATAATATGTTTTTGTCAACAGGGCAAAACAACAATAACATATGACAATAAAGATTACTGATTTTTACTTTGATAAATAATCCTTTTTCTAATTTTTTGATATGATTACTTAAATTGCGAATCTTGATCATGTATTCTTCTATAGCACATCTTCACATTAGCCTCATTGTATATATTGTAACATTAAGAACATCGTACTCAGATTCATTGTTTTATAGTGAATTTTTTAATGGACCTTTCAAAAGTGCCATTAAACTTATCAACCAGAACAGGGCCAGGAATATGCGCATGTGATTTATATCTTGTCAGTGTTTAACTACTTTTTAATTACATATTTTCTTGTTGATTTTTTTTTTCAGGTGAGGTTGTTCATTCTGGATGAAGCTGTAAGTTGGAAACATTTATCTTTTGTATGAATTTATTTAAAAATAATAATAATGGGTTGATTTATAAGGTGCAATGTGATGTATTGTGATCTAGGAATGACTTTAACGAGTTGAAGTTTCTTGACTAATGTGTTGGGAAGCAAGTATAAAATGCTACTGCATCTTCATTAATGAAGTGTCTTATGTGCCTGATATTTTGGATGTGGAATTTAACGAATTTGCATACACTAACAATGTGTTGCTTGAAGGACATCATCCTGTCAAAAGTGACACCGACGTTCCGAACTTCATTGAATGGAATTATGGTTGTATCACCCACATGAAGGCTCTGCATAATAGGTAGGGAGGAACAATGTCTGAATTGTGTGAGAAGGGTTTTGGTCTGGTCATCATTGAAACAAACATATTTAGTGCATAGCCTTCCAATAAACTTCATCAAAACTTTCCCAAATGCCTCATCCAGTGCATGTCGTTTGAAAGCAATATACAGTTGTGTATCATCAGTGTATATATTATACTGGCATGAATACTTAAGAGATAACATAACCAAGTAGATGTATGTACAACAAAATTGCACAGGTCCGAGTATTGATCTTTGTGGAGTACAACATTCCAAAAGTGCTTGATCAGGAATTACAGACTTAATTTGGACTGACTGTTGGCAAGATATTAAGTGTGATCGAAACCACAAGAGAACTAAGCTGGATATACCAATATCTGTAAGACGATTGAAAAGAATAGTATGATCAATGGTGTGCAACTGCGGCAGATTGATCTAAAAATACTACTAGAACACATTCACCAGAATCAAGGGCATGCATACTTTATGCTGACTGAAATGGGTCATGAAGCCGTTACTTTCAAGGAAGTTACAAGAAAATTGTTTTCTCAACAATTTTTTTAATAAAAGGAATGTTCGTAATTGGTTGAAAATTTGAAAGCAAGTTGTGATCAAGCTTTAGTTTCACCATGTTTTAGTGTACTTAAAATTGATTTAAAAAAGTGGTTTAGCTTGGGGTGGCATGGTAAAAATTAAACTAGAAACTATGTTTAATGACATCAACCCAGTGAAATCATTCCTAGTAAATTTAAGGTAAATTTGATAAATTTGAAAATTTGACCTTGGAAATTTGAGATTTGGTGTCATAATCAAGGGCACACACATATGGTGAATGTGCTTCATAGAGCTTTTAGACAACTAGAGTGCTGACTAGGCGATGAAGGAATGCAGAGTTATGTATGTGTACTCAACAAGATGGCCACCATAGAAAAGTACCATTTTCAGGCTTAAACATATTATAAGCATAAATAAGCCCTGCATAACTATTATTTCATTATCATTATTATTCATAATATTAGGGAGCTTTTGATTGCACGACGACAGTTGGAGGTAGAATGTAATGACGTCACTAAAAGTCATCTACGCTTGGAGAACGTTAAGGTCACGCTTCAAGTAGATAAAGAAGAAAAATATTCACACACAAGTCCAACATCTAATTGAGTGGTGTTCTTCAAATTTTCTTGTGTTAAAAGTTGACAAAACCAAAGAGATGTGTCGGGTGAAGTAGTAGATTAAAGCACAAAATTTATATGGGTCAATGAAATACTGTGTATAAAGCATGTAAGGTGGAAAGTGCTGCCTTTATATTGTATAAACAATAGAACATGTATTGTAGTGCATTCAACATGTGAAATGTGATGTTAAGAAATTTAACATTCTCTCACAAGATAGTCATTTTATTTAAACCTCATTAAATATTGTACAGAACTGAATGCATGTAGTAGTTCAACTGTGATAACTACAGAGAAATCCTTCAACAAAATTTATGGGGAAATAAAATATTTCTTACAATATCAAATCACTGTGGTTCAGGGCTTGGATGAATCCAGACATTAAATGAATCAAGGATATTGTTAACAGAAATCGAATCCTGACGCCCAATAAAATTTTAGATAAGTTACATGATAAAAGAAACTGGCTCAGTGAATATGCTTCATAATTTGAATCTATTCCAGAAGATTGGTTGTATGTTATTTGAAATTAAAATGGTATCATCAATGAGGTTCTGGTGACTAGTAATAATATAGATAATATGAAAACAAAAGAAATTTATTCATGTTTTGTTAATAAAACGTTTATCCCACCTTATGAATGTAGGTAAAAATGGCCCCGGTAAAAATGGCCCAGCAAAAAATGGCCCCAAATGACAAGTAGGTAAAAATGACCCCAATGAAAAAATTCAGTAATAGAAATTATATATTTTTTTTAAATCTTCAAGTATTTAAAAACTGAAATAGCCAGAATTGAATCAATAAAAAAAAAAATTGCCCCCAATTATAAAATTCCACTAGATTTGAACTCGTCACTAAAGACGAGTTTGGTGATCCGCCGTACTTTGACCCTTATAAAGCGCGCGCGGTGCTGATTGAAAAGTTTCATAATATGCTAAAATATTCTGTACAACTAGTGTTTTAAAAAAGAATAATTTTCAGCATTTTAAAATATTTACGCATGCGTACACGTATAGCTTGACCTCCGTGAGCACGGTAATGGTACAAAGAGTGACTCCTGATATGAATACAGTGTCAGGAACACAAAATATGTAACAAAACGTGATTTCAAGCTTCAGTACGTTCTGTGTGCGTGGAAATGAACGTATGGCGTGTAAATAGGGAAAGTTTTGGAATGCAGAAAATGATCCGAAACGTTTGAACTATCTGAATAGTGATATTGAGAAGTTTGAAATTTTAACCTACCCACACGTCACGATGTGTGCGTGTACAGTAATGGCACACAAAATTAAATATTGTCGTGTTTTTAAAATCGTCTGTTAGTAATTAATGCCACAGGAATTTTCCCTTCGTATAAACCTATACTGTATATATAAGTCTGATAGCGTCGAAATACAGTCTGCCTCCTGCCTCTTGTGTTCTTTTTTTTTACATCTTTTAAGAATGAGAGATAAGAATGCTCTAAAAATTCATTCTTTTTGACCATGCTGACGTGATCAAAATGAAAAATAAAGGGACACGTCTGAAAGAGAATTGATTTAGCTATAACATACTCACAGGTGGGAGACAATAAATCAAGATAAGCGAGATACGTTCAAACAAGTGTAAAAAGTAATAACGTCATAAATAAAAATTCAGTTTTTTCTTAATTCAATTGGAAATATGATGACATCACAATGTCCGATCAGCCAATATGATCTATAAAATCGTATCTACAACTCATGTGCTTTCAGATTATGTAATAAAAATTGGGGGGTC